GCCACATAGTCAGTAAATCGGGTATTGCGACTGACTCGGACAAAACCGCATGTGTTCGTACTTGGCCGACGCCCATGTCAGTAGGGGAGGTGCGCAGATTCATTGGATTCTCGTCCTATTACCGCAGTTTTGTCACCGGGTTCGCTACCATCACTAAACTTCTCCATGCCCTGACGGGGAAGGGTCAGAAATTCCATTCGGGGAGGAGGAGGCCGCATTTGTTGCACTCCAGGATGGCTTTGGTGAACGCCCCTCCCCTCTGCTACCCCGACTTTTCCTTGCCATTCGTCCTTGATACAGACGCTAGTAACACCGGAATTGGAGCTGTTCTGTCTCAAGTTGTCAATGATGTCGAGAGTGTTGTTGTATATGGAAGCAGAGTACTGTCTCTGGCCGAACAATGGTATTGTGTGACACACCGGGAACTGTTAGCTATTGTGTTTTTTGTGTGCAATAGTATCACTCCAATTTGTATGGTAAACACTTTGAGGTGCGCTCTGACCATGCAGCGCTACAGTACGCATTGCATATTGAACAGCCGCCTGGCCAACTTTCATGTTGGTTGGAAGTCCTCCAGGACTATTCTTTTAATGTTCCGTATCGCAAAGGCTCCCGACACATGAACGCGGACACCCTGTCGCGATTACCAATGAGCGATGGGTGCGCGTGTTTTTTGGGCTCTGGGCGCTGTAAGCCACACGCCGAACACTCGCCCCCTCCCCTTGCGGCGTCGGCTCAGGTTGGAACCTCTGAGGTGGCCGACGGGCTGGTGCCGCGTGACGCCGTCATTGGGTTGGACCACAAAGAATGGGGGCGCCTCCAGTTTGAGGACGCTTCCCTGCTTAAATTGCGACGCCGTGTCAGGGAGGCTGATGGGGGTGGGGATCGACGGGGCGTTGCCTCTGTCATTCTCAGAGACGGATTGCTCATGCATTGGGATTGAGGGTTGCACCATTATAACATTGTTGTGCCCACTACCCTGCGGGGTAAGGTCATTTTGGCAGTACACGAGTGATTGTTGCACCTGGGGGTGCATAAGACGTTGACCTCACTTAAGCTGGACTTATTCTGGCCTGGCATGGCGGAAGATGTCGCTAATTTGTTTAAAGGGTGTGTGCAGTGCGCGCGGCGGAAACTGCCGTCGAAGCCCGTTGTCCATCGATTCAGGTCTCCCGCAGAAATGAACTGGTTGCTCTGGACATCCGTGGTCCATTTCCCACTACCCCTCGTGGGAATAAGTATTTTCTGGTGGGAGTCGAGTATTTTTCATGATGGCCGGTGGCCTGGCCGCTCCCTAACCAGTCGGCGGCGACAATCACTGAGGCATTCCTCAATGGCTATGTAATGGACAACGGTGCTCCTGAACGTCTTTTGACCAATCATGGCAAACTTTTTTTTCTAAATTGCTGCACGTCATCATACCACCTGGAGATGGATGGCATGGTGGAGCGGCTGCACAGGACTCTGACCTCTATGTTGAACCATCAGGTCAGCGAGTCCAAACTTGACTGGGATGTGCATATTCCCGGAGTCCTGGCTGCATATAGAAGGCTCCTCACACATCCACCAGCTACTAACCGTTTTTTTTATGTACGGAAGAGAATACGACCCCCCCGATTGATGTCCAGTTACGAGCCGCGCCAAACAAGGCTAAATCACACATTTCTGACTCGCCTTACCCTTCAGAAGCTTTCCAAAGCGTGGGGGACTTCCTGGGAAAATTCCAATCGCGCCAATTGGCAAATGAGCGGCTGAGGGGTTCTCGTACTTCTGCACATGAGTGGGTGCCAGGGGACAGAGCCTGGTTGATGTATCCTCAGGTACCGGTGGTAACGTCTCCCAAACTGTTTAAACCCTGGAGGGGGCTGGTTGATGTGATTCGGGTCGTTCGACCACAGTGCACAGTGTGTTCAGATTCGCTTGGGTCAGCGGAGTTGGTTTGTACATCCCTCACGCCTCAAGCCTTTCATCGCTCCGTGTGAATTCATTCCATCTCCACACCGCAGGGGCCGAGTGTCAGATGTGTCTGGCGAGCTGAGGTGTGTACCCGCTGAGGTTGGTCCTAAGCGGAGTTATGTGACCCTGTCGTGCCGCGTGTCTAACATCCCCCGAGCCGCCACCTGCGCCATCTCCACTGGATTCGGGAGAGGAGAGCCCGTCCACCTGGCCGACTGCTCTTCGTGAGGAGCCGGGTTCGATGGTACATTTGCATATTCCCCCTGGGACCTCCAGGGAGATCGCGCCCACCTCCCCTGCGGGCCCGGCCACAAGGATTCGATCAAAGACTCTTCGGTTTTCGTGATCCCCATACACACGCGCTCCAACACCGTCAGTTGGTTGTCGCACTCGGCAGGCCGTATCGGTTATTGGCTGAACCTCGCTTCCATTGTGCTTGTGGGTGTTGTTACACGGTGAGGGTGGGAGATGTTGGTAATGGAGGGGATTCCAAGCATTCCCGCTTTACTGCATTTTTTTTCTCTCTCCCCTTGCTTTGTTGTTCTGTACTTCCACACTTTTCCCCGTCCATTCCAGTACATTTGTAGATAGTTTATATATTGTATAGGTGGGCTGAGGTATGTATTTGTTAATTGTTATTGTTGAGGTACACATAGGGGTTTTACTCACTTTTTTCACTTTATTCGCTTTGTTACATTGTTCGTTTTAAAGAGGGAGTTGACAGTCGGGACAGTAGAGTACAAAGGGGGGGGGGGATGATGTATTGACATCGCAGACACCACAAATATGTGGGTGCAGTACCGGCCCTAGAGGGGCTTGGTGAGCGCTGACTGGCAGTGCTAGATGGCACCACGCTCTGCGTGCAGTGCCGACCCCTACAGGATAGGGTGTGAGAGTGCCGGCCACGGGAATGGGGTTACTATAGCCTGTGGCACTCTGGTTGACCCCAGAGGACACATGACCAGTTAAGTCTACACGAGGCCCCCAAATGGGGGCTAGGGGTGGTCACATGTCAGGGTCGAGATCCTGCTCGAGCATTCTAGAAGGTGGTTGTGGCTAAGGGCTGAGCCAGTCACGCCGCAGAGGATATAAGCCAGGTCCCCGAGAGGGGCCGGCTGCTGTTGTTCATCCTGAAGAATCTACGATCTACATTCTACAGAGTTACCAACACGTGGATCTGGACCCAACCTGTGGTTCGGTCCATTGCAGCCAGTTTCGGTGTAGTTAGTGCAGTTTGCCTGGTGGTCCACCACCATAGGTTGTTATCTTGTTAAGGGGCAGTTACCCTGTGTGTTGGCATTAATAAATGTGCCTCCAAGAAGTGCATCTGCGACTCAGTTGAACTCACTACACAAGTACAGAACATGAGTGGGTTGGATAGTAAATTCACAACATTTACAATCTGAGTATGACGTTTCAACACTAATTGCAACTAGCATAAAACTTCCAATTTCTCTCCCCCTGCTGCTCTCATTGACATGCTAATTTATCTCCTCCACCCCCCTTTCTCTATATAAATGCCTTGTCACAGAGGCGTTGTTTCTCAGTGTGTCTGTGTGTCTCTCTCTCTGCGTATGTGTCTCTCTATGTGTGTCTCTCTCTCTGTGTGTCTCTCTCTTTCTCTGTGTATGCGTCTCTCTCCGTGTCTGTGTTGTCTCTTTCTTTTAAAGTATATTTTAAATATTTTATTAGTATATGTACTGCTCTGTATATGTGTCTCTCTCTGAGTTTGCTTTCATTCACACCTGATGGCGGTTGCTTGTGTTGCAATCGAAACGTCGTATTCTATTATTAATTTTATTTTATTTCTATGTGACTTTACCAAAAGAACCAAAGAGTAATTCCTGCAGTCACGAAAGCTTCAAATTAAGTTTTTTTTTATCAGAGTATGTTCGTTGTTTGCATTCTGACCACAAGTATTGTGGTTAATGCAGACATGATTCGTTGTAAAAGGTTTCAGTTAGGTGTTTTAACACCTTAACACCTCTTGACTAAAAACTTTTGTGACTGCAGGAATTCATATTCTTTGGGTTTTTCGGTACAGTCACGTAGGACAATTTTTTTTACAAAATACTACGATGTTTCGATCACAACACAAGCATCGTCATCCTTATCATCCTGATGACGATTGCTTGTTTTGCGATCGAAACGTCGTAGTTTTTTGTAAATTAATTTTGTTCTACGTGACTTAACCGAAAGACCCAAAGAATATCTTAACACCTGTTTTGTTGCCAGAAAAAAGGGGAAACCCTATTCTAATATACATGTGTTTTTCTAATTGACCTGCTGACATGGAAGTGTCCATTACGTTTAAGAATGGTATCCCATTAGATCGGGAATCTGTACTGCCCAGTGGGAATTCTGCACTACCCAGTGGGCATTATCTGGCCGTCAATCAAATGCATATGTAGTGACATAAGAAGGGAGGGGCTGCTGGGGGCTCTGGGACCCTGGGCGGGCCAGGTTCTTAAGCCTCTTGGCGCCAGGCGCTGGGTTCCCAGGCGGGTCAGACGCTTAAGCCTCTTGGCGCCAGGCGTTGGGTTCCCGGGTGGCCCAGGCGCTTAAGCCGCTTGGCGCCACCAACGGGGGGGGGCTGTGTGTGCTCTGTGGGATATCTGGGGGCGCACACAGCCCCACCCCTCGTTGGGGACTAGGCATAAAAGGGGAGCTCCCTGGACGATCAGGGCCAGTTGTAGCTCAAGACCCAAGACCCAAGACCAGCCATCTCCGGACCCTGGGATGTTGTGAGAGCCAGTGGTGGGACTCTGGAACTCCCGACTCTACGACCTTGTGAGGGCGAGTTCCAGAGCGTAGCCAGAGTAGAGTATCTAGGCTGTGTACCTAGGCTGTGTACCTAGGCTGTGTACCTAGGCTGTAACAGAGTATCAGGAGTGTTGGAGAGTTGGAGAGTTGGAGTGTTGGAGTGCTGTTGGATTGTAATACAGAAGTTACCTCTACAAGTGTCTCCGGAACCCGTTACACATACACAATAGCAACAACAATAGCAGCAACGACAATAACAACAGTAGCAACAACAACAGCACCTTGCAATGGCGACGCTGCGACCTGTGCTTCTGTTGCTACTGCTGCCCGGCTGGTTGCAGGCAGACCTTTCTTTCACGGGACTTCAGTCTGGTCAAGCAATGCCTCCCTTCTTCCCTGCAGAACGGGCGACCATAACGGGAACTTCTATTAGCTTGGATCGACAAATCAATTCCATCTCACCCAGCAGACTTAGACCAGCATCCAATATGGAGAAGAGAGCACTGACCCATTTTCCGGTTCAAAATACTCGAGTTCCACACCCACTGTACTGCTGTAGAAATGCTGACCCGTACCTGACCGTGTTTGTCACTTGTTGCAATGTCTCGCACATGGTTGTGCAGCAAATCTGGTCAAATCTTCTGACCTACATCCACACGATCAGCAGAAGAGTGCTTCTATCGCCATCCTGCTGCTGATGTTGGGTATTGAGCCAAACCCAAGACCAGGGCTCCTCAACTTTAGATTGGTCAACATGCACTCCATAGTCAACAATACGGCGCTGATCCAGGATCTGATCAAAGACTGTGGGCTCGACATATTGGCCATTACCGAAAACAGGGTATTTGACGACTCACCAGGCGCAATTAAGTGTTTGGCTGCACCTAACAGATATGTTGCGGGAAACATGGCACCAGCAGCCCGAATGGTGGTGGGATTGAACTGATTCACCATGGAGACATCTGCATGAAAGTCCTGAGCGATTAATGAGCAATAACGTTATTTGAGTAGCTGCTTGTGAAAATAATGAATAGAATGTAGGGGCTTGTGATCGCTGTCATTTATCGACCACCGTCTTAACCTCTATAATAGAGGTTTTTACTGGTAGGAACCTCCTGGTTACACCAGCCCACAGGGGATTATTCTGTCCGTCCGTCCGTCGTGCAGGGAGGGGCTGGGTGGGGAGGGGAGGGTGGGGAGGGGCTGGGTGGGGAGGGTGGGGCTGGGTGGGGAGGGGAGGGTGAGGAGGGTGGGGCTATACTCAACGTTTAACCTACTCACGCCGGCTTGTGCCCACCCTCACAGTCGGGCATATTTGCGGAATACACCACGCCGCCGTTGACCCTGGCCATTGACCGAGCAACCCAACGTTCCTACCAGCTCCCTCCGCAGGAATGTATTTGGACTAGATCGCATAAATATGTGTCGTTAAAACCAGCCACTACTCGACACAGCCATCTAGTAAGGGTTGTCACGTAAACAGAACATGCCAATTCGTCACTAATATAGCACACCGGTGTGTTGGAGAGCCAAGCCACAACATTTACCAACTGAGTACGACGTTTCGCCAGTAATTACAACTAGCTTCATCAGACGACAGCCAGATTTGTGGAGAAGTTTTACTGTTTCGTTCCTTATAAAGAGGCGTGAATGTGTTGACCACCCTTCTACGCTCTTGCACAATGTGGGGGGGGGGATTACTAAGGCAACATACATTATGCATGTGCATTATGCGAGCCTTTTGAACTTGTCCTTCCTGTCTATTGTGTTATTAAAATAGCCCTACCAACGGTAATCCCTATTGAATTACGCTGCCCTTTGTAGGCATGCATTTAAATAATGTATTATTTGATGATTCGCTTCCACGGAACACTAAGACGGTAGTTATCCGAACGGTTAAAGTTATTTTGATTTATTTCAATTTCCATAGATAGATTCTCTAATTAGTCTTGGCCAGTAGTAGCTGGTTTTGCACAAAACAACATTATCAAACTCAATTGAGTGTCCTTGTTGGTACGCGTGTTCTGCTACTGCTTACAGTTGTATTTGGGAGTACTGTACTGTACTTAATATTTATCTGATGTTCTTTTAGTCTCGTGCTGATCATTCGTCCTGTTTGCCCAACACAACATTTATCACACGTGCAGTTAATCCTGTACACACCTTCTGTTGATAGCTTCGGTAATACATCTTTTGTACCAGATATTAAATTCTGTATTTTATGTACCGTGCCAAATCTTATTCGGATGTTTTGTTTCTCCAAATATCTGGCTAGTTTATCAGTTACTCCCGCAATGTACGGTATTTTGATCGTTTAAATTACTTGGGCAGTTTCAATGCTCTTGTCATTTGATTTGCTTTTGGTACTAGTCACGAATTGGCATGTTCTGTTTACGTGACAACCCTTACTAGTTGGTTGTGTCAAGTGGTGGCGGGTTTTAACGACACATTTATTTATTTACGCGATCTAACCCAAAAAAACCTCTTATGGATGATATTGGTCACGAAAGCCTACGTGTTAAACTATCTTCACCTCTGTTGGAATTATTTTTCGAGTTTTCCGCTATAGTCGACTGTGGGTTACTTAGCTCTTGTTGCATCATCTGTGGTGACCTGAGCTGTCCCGAACCGACAGGTTCTTGTGGTAAAATCAACAGTGATTAACGACAGTCACAGTTGAACTCTATGCGTCAGTAGCGCAAAATATGTCGTTCGGGAAATATACTGGATCACATCTTCACATCCGCCGCTGCCGTAACTGTGACTGACATTGTTTTAGAAGAATTGGGTATTTAAGATCACAGTCCCGTGACGTGTATAGTGACCGATAATGGGAAGGTGGGTGTGTGGTATTAAATTAGTGATTGTTATTGTTTGGCTGGAACAGGTAGGTGATTGGGAAGGCGTGGGTATCTGTGGACGGTTGATTGGGTGGTAGTAAGGGAGTGCGGGGAAGATGATTGGAGGGGTTATACAAAGGGAGGGATAGAGGGGTTTGGATTTGGAGGGAACAGGGTGAGCAACGGTTTTTTATATTAAGCATTTTAATTGTAGATAAAAAAGGATAGCTGCCGCGTTGCATCTTTGTGGTTTTAAAGGATGTCTGGATAACGATGCCTGGAATGCACCATTTATCATCCCTGCCCAAAATCGTATAACTCTGGACTTGGCTCTACGAGAGATAGCAGTTTTGTATGGACCGCCTTCACCAAACCTATTGAGACAGCCGTTTCACAGAACCGAGAGGAAGTTAGGGGAGACACCACGGGAATCTAAAACGGCGTTTTTGGCATTGGTGAGGCGTGCATTCTGTGATCTGCTAGCCACAGCAGTCGACTCGCTCCATGAAGATGACGTTGGCACTCGCAGTTGGAGTAGTTGTGGACTCTTATGTGGGCGGCAAATTAAATTGAGTATTGGGAGAGTGTGCACGAGGCTAAAGGTTGGTCGGAAACACATCGGGATAGCACTACTCTAAGAATGACAGGGGCTGCTGCTGTGTGAAAAGACCAACAACCCTTCGGCAAAGGCCACTGGGGGAGGCTGTTGCGGAGCGCGTTTTGTGTCGACTGGAGGCAATCGAACGATGTTTGGATGACTTGCAAAGCGAGACTGATTTTTCGTCCGCCCCAATCAACTTGTCCATCTGGGCCATCCGTCCTACACCTCGTCTCATGCTGTCACGACCGCTGCTGTGCTCTGCATGTGGTGCACCGGAGCACTTCACGAGAGAGTGCCCACAGGCTGGGCAGGGACACGGCGGGTGACTCCTGTGAAGTCGGGAATCGGGTTCCCTGTGTCTTTTTCTCGGCAAAGCAAGTCTACACAGAACAATGTCAGGCAAGATATCTTACACAGCACGACGGCTTGCACGGCGCTTACTGACTCACGCACCCTACTGACAAACATTGGCCCTATGTCACAGGCAACTCAGACTGACACATACATACTCACTATAACAACTACAGCTCTTACCGAGCATTCAATAGTCATATCAACAAGGGATGAGGGGGATAGGTAAGTATGGCCGACGTCCAAAACCCAGTGGAAACGCTTGGGACGTAGAATGATGCCTGTGGCTAGTAGATCATCCTTTATTTTGGGGTTGTTAAATGACGTTGCTGTCAATTTGCTGATTATTAGAATGGATATATTTGATATTTTGCCTAAACAAGGGGGTTCGTTAAAGCAAGTGCAGACTGATATTGAAACTAAATTGGGAACAATAGTGGTTGTCGCTCCGGTTCTGGTGTTGTCCAAACTCAGTGTTCCATGTATTATCGGGACTGATGTGTTGGGCATATTACCAGTAAACATGTATATGAGAAAGAAATGGGTTCAAACGCCTGATGGGGTTCTTCCCTTTATTCGGCCAAGTGTTGAGGAAACGGCCAATAGTGTAGTGCAGGGGTTGTTGTCTTGTGCAGTGGTTATTCCCCCGCGCTCACAGATACTTGCACCGTTAACTTTACGGATGCTACTGGTCACACTCAGGCGTGATTCTGCATTATTAATTGCACCAATTTGGACAGCTAGGTCTAAGAGAGCATTGGTTGCAGCTGACACTTTGATTTGTAGGGACCAGCCACTTATAGTACAGGTACGCAACACATCTAACTCTGCCATTACATTGAACGCACACACACTGATGGCTCGTGTTGGGGTGTTGGGAGTGGATGAGATGCCAGAGGATTGTGGTTGTGATGTTGGTGATCTATCATTGCTGTCAGAAATTCACATGCCTTTCCAATAATCTAATACACCAGATTTGTGATCTCATGATGGAATATCAGGATGTGGCCAATCATTCAAAATATGATCTGAGCAGATCAGACAAAATTAAGACTGTAATTGTTACGGGAGATGCATGGCCTATTCGACAATGAATATAGTATAAGTATACCAGACAAAACGGTTATTAGAAATTGTGTAAAATAAATGGTTGATGCAGACATCATCTCACCAGTCGACTAGACCATGGGGGGACCCTGTGGTATTGGTTAAAAAGAGGGATAGTGGAGTGCGGTTTTGTGTCGATTATCGTAAATTCAATCAAACTACTGAGCTGATGCGTATCCACTCCCACAGATAGATGACTCAATTGATGCATTATCAGGTGCAACACTTTTCTGCACCCTGGATATGAGTGCAGGTTATTGGCAATTGACTTTAGATGAACATACTAAACATAACACGGCGTTTGTTACAACAGGTAGGCTTTTTGAGTTAAATGTACTCCTGATGAGCTTAGGAGCTACCCGTGCAACATTTCAGCGACTAATGGAACTCGTTTTTGGTGGGTTACAATGGAAGACCTGCTTGATCTATTTGGATTATATTTTTCGATAACTGCTGGATTATTTTTTCTGCCTGAGGACGACCGCTTGTGTTGCGATGGA